ACTACTCATAGGGAAATAGGGACTGAGGCGCATTGAAATCATCCCTAAGTAGTCTATTTGAGCGTGGAACTTTTGGACAAAACTCACGACTTCGGGGCACCGTTTATTGATTTGAATACTGAGGACTGTCAGTTCTGGGTCTGGCACATCCACAGCAGGGGACAGAGCTATAAAATCATAAACTGGCTATGAAGCTCAGCAAAGGGGCTGAAGACTGGGCTGTGAGGATGACTTTCTAAGCACTGAGAGCAGCTTCTCTGGATGGGATGAAAGCCTGTCAGGGAGTGGTGTAAATGAGAAGCTTGACCTGAAGATCTGAGGCTTCAAGCTGTCACATTTTAGCAGCCCAGATGCTGGGACGTCAGGACTTACCAGTGCACCCAAGAACAGATTCAGTGTGTAGCTGAGCATCAGTGATTCTTGCATTAGTCTTCAGTGGAAAAGATCCATGCAAATGCAACAAAGCAGGGTGGCTTCAAGAGGGAGAATCTCCTTGTAAATGAAGCCTGTTGGTTCAGGGCTCAGACCTGCCCATTGTAGCATGGCACAGAGCAGCAGCCTGTGAGGAAAGCACTGCATCATTGGAATCGATGAGCGGCCCACAGTCGCCTATTTCAGGAGTCAGCTTTGCTTCTTGAATTCTAACAAAAGCAAAACCAATCCTTATTTTACCTCAGCTCAAATCTTGCCTTTTTGCTCGCGAGCTGCCTGGCAGGAGGTCAGACTTTTCAGAGATGTTTCTTACAACCCTTTTGACCAGCCCTAAATACAAGGTCTAGAACACGGTCAGTACAACGCCGGTGGTACACTCAGTGAGAAAGCTCCAGTTTTGAGGACAGGCAGGATGGCAAAGCAGAATATACATCCCACTGCTAGAGCGTAATGTGATTTAGTGGACAAACAGCAATACATTATAGTAAGGTTTTACAGCTGCTAAATGTGTTAGTTCTTAAACAAACATCCAATGGGATTATAAGCCTTGCTTCTTTTGAAACATGGGGCTTCAGAGGAGAGCTATTTTCTTACAGCGTCTAGCATTGTGTCTTCAGGCTGTGGGATATTATTTAAAAAATGTCAAAGCAGAGTTCATCCTTGATGTATTAAGCCTCATTCAGTTTCGATTTTTGCATTTTCTCCTGCACAGAATTCCCGTTTCTTTCCATTCTGCCCCCGGTATCCCAGCTGTTCAGAGTTCCTTGGCTCCAGCTTTAAGAAATGAAGCCAAGAAGCAGATTTCAGTGAAACCAAGAGAATTTGCAATTAGCTCCACCTTTCTCAGAGAAAATATTGTGTCTGTGTCTTGAAGTACACTTTGTTGTAGCAGCATGGCACAGTTCCTGTAGTCATGCCTTATCGGTTTGTTGAGCCTGTACCTTTATACCAACAGTATCCCTACAGGTCTCCTATGGAGGAAACAAAAGATGCTCATTATATTCACAGCTGGACCGTCCTGAACCTCTCTTTGAAAATCAAAGCAGTTCAATTATTCTTTTTATTCTTCATTTTTGTCACTTCTGCATTGCTGGTTTTATCTGGGGAACAAGACGGTCACCAAAATACAGATCAGGGTTGGGATTAACTCAAGGTCTATTTCTAGCAAAATACTGAACCATTTTACCAGACTTTGGCATATTTTTGGTATCCCTTTGGAGAAAGATTCTTGTTTAGTTTCTTACTTTGCTAGCGTCATACCCTGAGTGGCCTTAACTCACCAAGACAGCAGGAAAACACCGCAGAAAATAGGATCGTATCCTGCTGGGTTAACAATTCACATAATACACTGGAGGGTTTGGTAAGCAAAAGAAATTGTCTCGAGGGAAAAGGCATGCCCACAGGGCCAGGAGAAGGGGAGAGAGAAAGAAACAGAAAGAGGGCAAGGAAAAAAGTCCCTTCCTTTCGGCAGAGACAGCTGCCTTGCCTCAGCTGTCCCTGAACCAAACCCTGACCATGACTATAGTGGGGCAAATTCAAATTCAGTAGTCCCTTCTAAATAAATGGTTCATTTTTTTTTAAGTGGAAAAGCTATTTAAATTATTTCTGACATACTAGTAGAGGTAAATGGCAGTCCTCCCTGAAAACATCCCCTTCTTCTCTATTGCTTCATCCTCCTTCCTTTTGCACACTCATAGGCTGTTCCTTTTCACAGGTGGCATCTTAGAGAGGCTCTGAGCTCCGAGTTTAGAGCCAGCTTTCCATATACAACTAGAAAGACTTTTCTTCATTCTAATTGACCTGCAATTCTTTTTGGTATAAATGAAGAGGTGAAAAAATCCTTCTACTACAATAAAACTCCACTTCCAGCTCTCTGTCCTCCAAGGTTTAAATTTATCATGTGTACTTTTCTCCTGCTCAGGCTTTTCCTCAACACTCCACGTTGTCTGTTACTGTGTATAAAAATGATCTGTGTTGACACAGGACTGAGTGGGCACTTTGTATTATCAGCTCTGGCATTTGCCCATGTCCTTTATTTCAAACAACCAAAGTGTATTTCACAGAGAGACGGTTTCTTGAAAGGTTTTCCACCGACAATTTGTCTAAAAAGAGATGCTGCTAAAGAAAGCAGAAAAGCTGGGTTTCTCCAATCTGCTCGGTGGACTTATTGAGGAAATTGTTCAGGGCTCCGAGGCCGCTGCCATGGACCTAGGTGCGTGTTGTGCTAGTAGGGCTGCCGGTCTCGTTTAATGGGATGGGAGCACTCTGCAGCCTGCCCGTGCCTACCAGCATCACTGGTCCTTGCCAGCTCACTTGGGTGCACAGAAAGCATGGGTGTGCTTGCTGTGCGCTGCTCTCTCTTCCTTGGCAGCCGGCTCTTTCCACTGCCGCTGGTTGAGCTGTTTTTAATTATCCTCTTTGGACTTCTGTGCACAATAATCTGCAGTTAATTACAAACAATCAGACAAATTGGTGTTCTAGGGAAGGAGAGAAGGGTGACAGAGAAGTGAGGACTGAAGCTGGAGCCGACTCCAATGAGAGACCTGGCTGGTGGTGGGTGCTGTTTGGACTGGGGGGGCCCGATGGAAGAAGGACTACAGAAAAAGCCAAAGCATCTCTTCTTTCCTCCATCCCTGAAGCGCACTCTGCAATTTGCTTCTGCAGCACCACCTCCACTGTGAGATAATACAGCTTGGTTTTGCAAGCATGATTGTTAGATCCCACTAGTCTGTTGGGAAAACAACCCGCTGGAGAATGGCAAATTAAAAGGCTAAAAAAAGTACTGGCGATGCTGCTGCTTTTCCCTGGGCTGCCCAGATGTTGCCAGCTGTCTCAGAGGAGGCCTGTCAGGGCTGTCAGGCTGGAGGTGAGCTCCGCAGAGGTGGAGGCTTCGCAGAGGCAGCCCAAGCGCTTGGCACAAGCCTGGCAGCAAGGTCTTCCCAGGAGCACCAGACCCACGAAGGAGATAACTCCAGAGCTTAGGGCTGGTGTTTTACATCCCGCGCACACAGGCTGGCACCTTTTAAATTGCGAACTTGTTTACTTGTTTACAATTTAATGCTAGCATTGGTGATGACAGGGAACTAAGGGGGTGCGCCTGTGGATTTCTTCTCATTTTCTGGTTGCCATAATCTTGGGTGGGGTCAGTCATTTTTCCATTGGCGAGAGCGCGCTTTTAAAACCGATTGTGGGTTGCGAAGGATGCTTGCTCGGTCCCCCGAGGGCAGGAGGGATGTGTCGCCGCTGTCCCCGGGCACCTGGGCACCGCCACGACCCCGGTGCGCGCCCCGGGCGCACGGCGCTGGGAGCGGAGCCGCAGCCGCTGCAGCGGGAGCCGAGGCTCCGAGCCGGGCCGGCAGGGGGCAGCGCTGCCCCGGGCAGCCGAGCCGGGCCGAGCCGGGCCGAGCCGTGCCCAGGGACTCGTCCCGGAGCTCCCCTAGGAGGTGATTTTTCCGTGGCTGCGCTCCAGGCACCCTAAACCGTGCCGCCGCTCCTGCCACGTGCCCCTGTGGTGTTTTCCTCGGGGGGTCTAAAATATTAATTAAATAAAAAAAAAAAAAAAAAGCCCTTTTACAATGCACCACTATATTAAACTTATAACGCTGTAAATCGGCACCGTAAAACCGTAACTCAAGGGCTGGGTGTTAGACAAACCTGATGGGCTGCTGGGGGAATGGCAAAGATCTTAACAAATTGCATCATATACAAGTTTCTGCAATGAACATAAACCTTACCGTTTTGTACCCCTATTAGTTGGCTTTTACGGTACTTTCAGGGACAAAAAAATAAAAATGGCAAGGAATACAAACAAGCAAATCAATTCAGAAAAATAAAAGTTGACGTGAGCTTGCATCCAAAGAGTGAGTGACGGTTCAGGCTTTCTTGTTTGTTTGATTATTTGAAATGGTTTGAGAAAGATGGGTTAATTTAAAAGTATTTTCCCTACACTTTCTTATTTTCCTTTGCTTCCTGCATGTAGGTCAGGATGGGCACTGCTATATAAAGAAACATGGAAAAATTGGTTATTCTTTACATTATTTTCAGTCCGTTCTTCAGATTTCTACCTCTCAAATGAAAATTATATTTTGATCCTGCGGCTTTTTATGGTTCACAGATGATCTCGAGGGGCTTATGTTCCCACCACACTGCCCGGAACAAACACTCGTCTGGTTTGCCCATTTTATTTTGACCTTCAAAGCACTGCTTTGCCCGTCTCCTCCTCACTAGAAGAACCCTGGCAAGAACCTTTGCAACCATAAATAGTCGTGTCATTATAAAGCAATAACACGGGCTGTAGCTCTCCCTCTCTGTGAGAGGTGGGCAAGGGTATGCAGCTTGTTAGTCTGCTTTTCTGTGTGTGGGAGCAGTTCATTTTGAAGTTTCATGCGACATCACAAATCAGGTCCTCTGGCAAAGAGGAGAAGCAAACGCTGAATATTCTGAGGCGAGTAACTACCCATAGTGAAGAAAATCGTTTCATGTGAGCACAGTGTAGGTAATGCAGTATTTATTTACCGCAAAGAAACCGTAAAGAGCACAGCATTGATTTCTTGGTTTTTATTTTTCAGGTTGGTTTCACGGGGCTTGGCCTGTTGGGAGGATTTTCTGAGAAACATCTGAATAGCTGATGGCTGAATAGCTTCAGCGCTGACCCCCTGACCTGAGGGAGGTTTGCTGCTCACAGTATTCCTGGAATGACACAGGGGCTCCGTCTGGAGTCAGGCCAGGACATTAAATGAAGCTGCTTTTGTGGCACTTCTGCTTCTGATGGCCGGAGGACAGACCTCCTGCAGGGAGATGCTGTATGTCTCTGCAGCGTTTGACTCTGTTGACCATGACCTCATGCTGGCCCTTGTTGAGGAGGGGGGTTGCAGACTGATGGGGAAGGTATGGAGGGACATACCCTGTTCATAGTGATGTGAACATGCACCCCCACTGCTAACTGTGGTGCTGTCCCACAGGGATGTATGCTTTTCCTTTTTCTGCTGACCCACTTGAGCACAAAGTCATCAGGGTGTGAGAAACACCGATGCAGTCCTAACCGCTTCAAGAGCACAAGCTCACTGTGCCATATCTTCCCCTCAAGTTTTAAGAGGACACATTGCCAAGTTCAAAGTCTGGGACCTTGAAAACCTCAGTAGCCTTGATCAAAGCATCTAAAAAAGTCAACTTATCAACACCACCTGAATTATAAGAGGATCTCTCCACTTCCCACGAGAGCAAAAAGCAAGATGGGGAAAAGGTGGCTCTCTGATATCCTCCCCCAGATGTTTAAGCACTGGCCAGCATCCATCTGAAGTGTGCAAAAAAATCTTCTCACTTGGGACAGTTAGGATTTTCCTTGCAGAGCTGCCCAGCATCTTCCAATTGCTTTGTACCTTACAAGAGCAGGGGATGTAAGTGCCTCTGAAAAATAGGTCCCTCGTGACTACAGCAAGGTAGAGCAGTGTTTCATTAACTGCATTGAGACTTCAGGGCCTTCATGGGTTTCTACATCACACATGCTGGCCCCAAAGTAATGGCCCAATAGCATGGTTATTGATTCAGTATATAATCTTTGTCTCACCCCCCATCTTTTTATGCCCCCCTATGTAACTCTTATCTTCAATTACATGCATCTTTAAGCCATACACTTTCTAGAGAGTGTTAAAATTATCAAGTGAATTCAGAATAAGGAGGTGAAAAGAAGCCTTCTGTGACACTAGTAGGGCTGGCAGTACTGAGGGGAGATACAATCCCCGGTATTCTTTGGTATCGAAGTTAATTGCAGGCATTGAGGGTTTAAAGACCTTGTGTTATTGATGGGGGTGTGTTAGCAACAGGAGGGATTGACTCTAACATTAAACTGGAATTTAGCATGTACAGTAGGCTGTCAAGAGAAAGAAGTAAGAACAAAGGAGACTGTTATTATCTTTTATTATTATCTTTTAATACCCCCCCCCATTTTCCTTCTGTATGCTCTTTCTCTCAGCCTTCTCTCTTTCAATAATTACAATAATCAACTTACAATGATAACAGAAATAATCTCCCGCAAGATAGCTAAACAAACCACATGTTATCTGTACTGAACTGTGCTCACTTACTGTAGGTATATCACTTATGGAAAAGCCAATAAAATTTTAATTAGAAAAGCACGTAGGTTGTCAGTTAAGATGCAAAAGGGTGTGCAAATAAATGTAAAGCGGCCCATAAATTGCTTGGTATTTGATAGAACAGGTAGGAGGGCAAACCCACCCCAAACAAAACAAAACCAAGCTAAACCCTTGGGGTTGGAGGAGCTCTATTTATGTTGCTCTATACAGAGCACTAATTGCCAGGGAATTCAAAAGAAGGGGGAGGGGAGAATCCTCCCCTGAGCGACAATCACATCCACCCACTTCCACCAGCGCTGGTAGCAAGTGAGCAGAAGTTAATTAAAGATTTTGCATCTCACAACCGCAGCGCTGGATTGATAGCTCTGGAACCTGAGATAAACTAAAGCTCTCCCACACTGCATCGCTAATACGCCTTCAACCTCGCCCAGGAGGCACCACCTCGAGGGATTAGATGTTTGGTTTGCTTGGTGTACTCAGGGCCTGGCCTCTGCTAAGACTGAAGGAGGACGGATGGATGCCAACTGGAAGGTGGGTGCTCGTCTCACAGGAGCAGGTCTGTAGGTAATTAGCTAGGCAGGAGTGACAGTGGCTTGAGAAGACTCCAGTATCTCCATGCAAGTTGTTCTAAACACTCAGAGCATATCACATAAAGGCTAATTGGCACAGAAACCACAAAAGAAAGAATTTCAGCACAAGCGCCGTGAATGTGAAACAGTTCAACAGCTGACCAAAGCGAAGGCTTTGCTGGAGTCAATTGCAATATGAAGAAAGTCTTCTACACCAGGCAGTGCCCTGAGTTTGCCTTGCTCCCTGTAGTCTTTCTCTCTCATGATTCTGGTGTGAGATCTGCCTCAGTCTGCTTCAACTGTTACTTTGAAGACAGAAGCACATATCCTTCACCCAGACTTCTCCTCCAAGCTCCGTTGCTGCAGGATATCACTGGTAGGAAATTTCAGCAGTGATGGGAAGATCAGCATGGGTCAGTGGTTATGCTTTGCACAGTTCTCCCTCGGTGAGTGAGCAACTGCCTCCTGGGAGTGTATTCTAGTGCAGAGAGATCCCTTTGGATAACAGCACGATAAATGCATTTGTGGTGTGAGGACATCCTGAGACAGCATCTGAAATTCCTTTTTCTTGATTGCTTCAGGTGTAATGGGTGGAAATTCCCTGCACAGACTGCCAAAGACTGCACTTTTGTGTGGAGAGAAGCAAGGCCATGAGGTGGAAGGACTGATTTCCTCTGGGAGCACATTGCAGTGGTACACCCGCTGTCATAGGACACTGCATTTTGAAGCTATTATAAATAGATAATGCTTACATATTGCTCTTTACATTTACAGTGACCCACAGGCCATACCTAATTACACAATTGCAGCAGCCTTGCAAGGCAGGGCAGTTAGGATCATCTTCCTTTAGAAACGAAATGGAGGCAATGGTATTAAAATGCATGACCAGGGTTAGAGATGAGGGGTCAGTGAGAAAGCCAAGGTTGAAACATCAGACTTACATATTCCCAGTCCTGTGCTTAACATGTGTCTCAGGCAAAGAAATTGATGTTAATGATGTACTAACCCCTTTCATCTGAAGATCTCAAAATGTTTTATGTCCTGATTTGCTTTCCCCATGCAGCTTTATTGTAGGCTTATGGTTGTCCAGAGGGGAAAAGTGCAGGCTTCTCTGTGCTGTGTGTGTATCCGTATGGCCTCCAGCTCCCCGCAGGGAGGAGGTGGCAGGGGTTAGTCACTGCTCTCACTGGGGAGGGAGCTGGGCAACTGCGACAAAGGAACAACAGAGCCATTGGAGCCATTGAGGGAAGGTGGGCTGTAAGAAGGAGGCTGGGTATGGGTTGGTTGGCAGCATGTAGCATGACAGGGGCTCATATGACAGCCCCTGGGCAGGGCTGGAGCTAGGCCATGTGGTATGGGGTCATTAAGATGCAAAGGGTGTCTGGAGACATTGCAGGAGGGTCCGTGCAGGGAGGAGACTGCAGGACACAAGGTAGATAGGCACTCTTCAGGGAGAGCTGGATACAGGAGTTGGATAAGAGGAAAATAAAAGATCATCCTCGTTGTTTTCCTTCAGAAAGAGCACTTTTGCTGTCACAGTTCTGCCCCAGGCTCTGAAGGAGAGGTGGCTGGCTGGGTGGGCTGAGGGTGGCCCTGGGTCCCACAGGGCCAGCACAGAAGCGGCCTGGGGGCAGGTGCCATGAGGCCTGAGAGTCATGCAAGAACTGCCAAACCCAAAGTGTTCTTGACTTTCTTGCAACTGCAAACCACTCACAACAATGCCCCCAAAAGAAAATGCAGAGGTATTCAGAAGTCCAAAGCAATTTCTACCTCAGAAACCAGGGAGGAGCGTGGCACCAACAGTGACCACCGTGAGCCCCCAGGAGGTCATGCCCAAGTCCCAGGGTCTTACCTCATCCCTTCTTTGCCACGTCTGCCAGAAGTGCAAAGCTCCTGCACCAGGCTCTGCATGTAACAGGGACAGTTTCCACCACGGATGCTTGTGTGTAGCAGACCTGACTTTATTTTTATTTTTTTTTCCCTCCTGTTTTGATTATGGAACCGCTCTTTATTCTAGCGAGTCTGAAATTAGATGCAGGTGCAAATTAACTAAGTCACAAGTGCATTGCATTTGGTAATTTTTCTGTCAAGAGTCATGTTGAAAGGTCGCAGAGAATAACAAGTGCAGCCGAGAGCCAACTGGCTGGTCCAGGTGTGCCCCGCCACTGAGCGCGCCTCCTCAGCAGCGGTGCAAGGAAGCCAGGTCTGCTTTCACAGCACATGCTGTGAGTTCACTCCCTTCCTGTCAATTTTCTTCCTCTGGTTTTGTCTGCCATTCCTCATGGCTGGCCACAGCTGTCTCCTAGTCCTCACGGCTGTGATTGCAGAGCAGTAGTTGTCATGGTTATGTCGCTACCCTGGAATTTCGTGAATGCACTGGAGCAAGAGCATGGATCCTCCTCCTCGTGCCCTGTGTTTTTTCCAGCTGAAGGGAGAAGGGCTGTTAGTTGTCAGTCCACCCAGCTATTACATGTAGATGAGGGAATCCATCTCCATCTGCCAGCAGGCAGCTATCTATGGATCTTCTGCCCCTCCTCAACCCAACTGCTGCCTCTGTGCAACTGGCAAGAGAGCAGTGGCTGCGGGGGCAGCTCCCCAGCAGCCAGGGTAATCCGATCAGTTGAGCTGTCATAATGCACCCATCAGATGCCTTGTCTGTCTTCCCTGTCTCTAGGGAGGTGTGAGCATCTTGTGTGGAGCAGGGTATAAATAGCTCCGGTGAGGTGGGTGGCATAGGACAATAAGGCAGCGGGAGGATGCGTGAAAGCGTTATTCTGCAGTGGCTTTTCACAGCTGTGTAGGGCTTGTGTTTTAGAGGGGCCATTTCTGGCTCCCTGTGACAACTTGCTCATCACTTTAATTCCGACGATCTTGAAATTCAAGCAGTGAGGCTCGGTTCCAGCCGCCCTCCTTGCAAACTTTCTGCCTTTATGTGCACTAATTGGCCCAAGAGAGATGGTGAGGTGCCTGAGCCGTGGAGCCGAGCTCCTTCCTCAAAGTCCTCAGATGAAGCTGTGCGTGTATCTGTCAAATCAGCGTTGCAGTCTGCTGGCAGGGCAGTGTGTGGATAAAGCTTGTCCTGCTGCTGTCTCACAGATAAGCAGGGGGCTTCATTCATGGAGCAGTTAATCTGGATCGCTTTCACCAGCGCTAAATCCATACTATTTATTTAAAGATTAAATTAATGGTTCTATGCAAATTTGCAAATTAGTTAATGACATAATTGCATCAAATGATAAGTATGGTGCTGCACAAAGCGAGGCAGGGAGACCATTTCAGGCCTGGGTTTCCTCTCACTGTGGCTTTCAGACAGCTTGTCACCCAACTGGAGCTGAGGTCTGTGCCTTTGCTGGGATGGGTGCATGGCTGAGATGGGGATTCATGCCCTCTCCCTCACCTGAGTGCTGCTGCATCACAGGGATTATTGTTCATAGCCATGTAGAGTGCTTTAGAGATGCCTTCCCAGTTTGGTTTCTTACTTTGAAATAAGGGAAAATTGCCACCAATTGGTCAGTTTTCCTCAAAAATCACATGTTCTGTAACTGCAAATGTAAGTAAGCAGTTGCAGACCTGATTTCAGCATCATTTTCTTGGAAATGTCAAAGGTAAACCCACACTTTTAGACAGCAGTCAGTACAAACTACTTACAGCATTTCATCTTGGACTGAGATATTTCCTTTCTAGCTCATGTAGTCAGTGCTGTCTTCCAGGAATTCAGGATGCGACCACCACCCAAACAGCTGCTCTGTGTGTGACCCTAGAGCCACTTCACTCAGAATCCAGTATATGACAGTAGCTCATGCCCGGAGAAGAGTATCAGCAATAAACCATTAGGTGATGATGTTCCTTGGTGCTCTGTCTTCAGCTGCCTGTGCTCTGCAGCTAGAGGACCTCCTGAGCCAGGGATAGCACTGAGGACCAGTGACAAACTGGTTGTTGTGCACATGTACCATTTGTCTCCTAAAATAGCTCCAATTTTGTTTTCTTCATTTGCCCTTCCTGAAGCCTTCTTCATCCTGGTAGATTTTAGTGGAGTTTTGGAGTATTCCACTTCTTTTTGCTTGGAGTTAAATCTCTCTATAAAATCTTTTAATTGAGGTGTATAGGGGATATAGAAACCTTCAAGGATTAGATGTGAGCAGTGTAGGCAGTAGCGAGGCACCCTTAACACCAGGGGCAACCCTGAACTCCCTGACACAACAAGGAGTCGTGATTCTCTTTTACATTTTGGAAGTGAGAATGGTAGCAGTCGTCTTTCAGGGGTTGTAGGGGCATGGTTCATGTACACAGGAAAGCACAATAAGATTGGCAAACAGTCACTGAAGCTGAATAGTCCTTGAAGGTTTCATACAACCCCCCTGGTTAGTGTTCCACTCTCCTGAATGGTATGTTTGGGAAGGTGTCTCACCTCACCCCCACCTTTGCTTGAAAAAATGTTTCCGTATGTGAGGATGATAGGGAGTAGGGACAAGTGACAGAGAGAGACTCGTAAAAGTGTCAAATAAAGAAATAATGGTTATAAACTTATCTTACATGGGGACACTCTAGGCCTGCTAATGCCTCCTAGGCCTGCTACTGCCCCCAAGGCCAATCCTTCTCTCACATTCAGTTTTACTTTGGGATCAGCTTTACCACCTCTACCCCGTCCCCTGTCTCCTGTTTATTTATACAGGAACACCTCTGGGAAAACTAACCTTATTCTCTACCCAATGTCCCCATTCCTGTCTTCAAAGCTGCATCGTTTCTAATCTGTTTTCACTTCTGTCACTGATTCTGCTGTGGCTCCTGGCTAATCACACAAACTGTTTTGTAACCTCATCAGCTCTGTCCATGCTGGTAGTGTTACAGACCTTACTTACTCGTAGCCACTTCTAATGCCAAAGCCGGTATTTGAGCCCTGGTGTCCAGAACTGAAAGGTTAATCCTCCAAACCCTCCAGCACTCACATCTCTTCTTGAGAAACACCTTTTCTGACCATTCTTCACTGTATTATCACAGTGCTGGGAAGAATGTAGAGAGATGCCCTTTAAGATAAAGACATTAAACCTTAGGTCTAAATTCACTTTACATGACACAGATTTTGTTACTGCTCCAGCAGATTTTCTTATTGATTTCTCTGGAGCATCTCAAGACACCCTCACATCTTTAGGCTTCAAAAAGATATCAGAACAGTGACGAGTGGAAAGTTTTCTTGACCTTTCTGACCATTTCTCTCCTCTGGACGTGCTCTCTCCAGGTAACTAGTCACTAGGACAACCTCATCTGGTTAAAAGGTCACTTAAGTTGTGTACTCCACTTATACCATTCTAAATGGTTGTGTTTTGTTTGAGACCATCGTCTGCTGGAGCAGGAGGTTGATGGTTGGGTCACTGACCCTTGTTGCAAGTCAGCAATCTCAATGGCCTTGTTCCGAAGAACAAGTCTTGGAGCTAAAGCGAACGGATTGTAACCTTGTGATGCATCAATTATACAAACTTTTAAACTACCTCTTATTCTAGGCAGACAAACATTAATATTAACTAGCTATCCATCCCATTTTATCAGAATGGTTTTACAATTTTAATACAGCACAGATTAAATAAAACTGTTCCTTGGATGGAGGCCAATAACAAACTAGTCATGTGAATGCAGGAGTATTAAAAAACGTAAACTGCCTGTCCAAAGATCTATATAGCATAGTATCTTTTCTCTGTCAAGAAACAAAAATTGGACTTCTGAAGAACATAAAATTGGTGTAAGCAGCTAGTGATACTTCCCTGCCTCTTCTCCAGCTTCCAACCTCCTATGGCTCAACACTTCTAGTGCCAGATGTGGTTTCTATTTATTTGGTGATGTTGGCAAACTGCATCAAATGGTGCTTTCATTTCAAAAAGGACCTTGAAACCATTCATAAGGAGCTTCTTGACTCTTTTGAGGACTCTTATGACCCTCATCCCTCAACTGTCCAGAATGTCTTCAGTGGCAGAGAATACGACTTATCCATTAGCAGATACAGGGAAGAGAAGACAATGCAGGGATTTGAACCTGCTGTTCTGGGTGGTCTTGATGTTCAGCTCCTTGACAAATAATTTAAAAAGCAGTCCTGGAAATTAGCTATTCATCTTCGCTGTTAAAAGAGTCCTGGTCATCTATGCAATGCAAAGAGATCTGGCAGGATCTTCAGAGGCCACATGCAAAATAAAACTAGGATTGACTTTTTCCATTTCCAAAGGTGTTACAGGACAGAAACCAGAGGTCTGGAGGGGATAAAAGCACCAAGTGTATTAAACCTACACTGAAAAGAAAAACTCAGCAAGTGCTCTTCTCAGACATAACCTGCCTTTCTGTTCTCTTGCTTTTGGGAATACAGCGTGAGCATCAAATGGGCTAGAGGAATGACCCACCACCCTGCAAAGATGAATATCTATGCATATGTGACCAAAAGCATTTGGAGAATATGCATTTCACTTTGAAATGTTGATACACCCCAGAGCATTGGGCCATGGGTCTGTTCTGGTACAGCAGTTTTCATGTTTCTCTTCCTGCTATTTGCCCATGGTCATGTTCTTTCGGATCTTCACACAGACTAAAGCTGGCTGCCTTTAAAGTCTCTGTGGTTAGCAGTTCTCCCCAGCATCACAAATTTAACTCTACATAAGAGATGCAGGTTGCCTCTTCAAGCAGGATAAAGCTGCTGCATCCTTAATCTCATGTTACACAGATGTCCATATCAAAAAAAAGACCCATTTCTCTCTGTTCCTCCTCTTTCAACTCGCAGCACAATGGGCCAGCAGCAAGATTAGATCTCAGGGAACTCTGAAAGCCACCGTTCCCCTGGAGAGGGCCCTTGAATTTACAGTCTCCAGGATTCACACAGCGACTGTTTAATTTCTGAAGTGTTAACTGAAATTTACTACAAATGCAATTTTATGCCAACACATTTTTTGTTGTTGTTGTTACTAAGGCAGCTATTCCATAGTTACTATT